AACCATGAGTATGCACCAATGGGTAGGGGAAAACCCGAGGTTTTAAACCAGGTCCGGGAAAAGGGAAATCTTGAGTATGAACCAAGGGGTAGGGGGAAACCCGAGGATTCAAACCAACTTTGAGTATGAACCAAGGGGTAGGGGGAAACCCGAGGATTCAAACCAGGCCCGGGAAAAGGGAAACCTTGAGTATGAACCAAGGGGTAAGGGGAAACCCGGGGGGTTTAGACTAGGTCAGGGAAAAGGGGGAAAACATGGGGTAGCGAACCACACAAGAGTTGGGTTCAGACATACAGAAAGGAAACGAAGAGGTAAAGCTTACCTCAGATGTACACAACCGTCCACAATATTAATGACCATATTAATGTACATCTGAGGTAAACTTTACCTCTTCGTTTCCTTTCTCCATGGTTTCAGACCAGAGAAAGAGGGCAAACCAGGGAAATCTTTATCATATATTCAATTTAGGTTTAGTTTATTTTAGTTTCGGTTTAATTTAGTTCAGTTTAGGTTCAATTAGGTTCAGCTTAGTTTGGTCTGAGCAAGGTTTGTTAGTTCAGGTTTATAGCCCGGATTCAGTTTAGGGTTAGTTTTTATCAGGACTTAGGATAGGTTTAGTTTTGATCAGGACTTAGGATAGGTTTAGTTTTGATCAGGACTTAGGATAGGTTTAGTTTTGATCAGGACTTAGGCTAGGTTTAGTTTTGATCAGGACTTAGGTTAGGTTTAGTATGACATCAGTTTATTTTGAAAAATTTAACAGTTTTTTTTTATGAATTTAATGCATTTCGTTGCAAACACCATATTAGTGAGGAATTAAATAAAAAGAACAACTAAGTCACGAAAACTAAGTTTTACGCAACTCCTTAGACCCTAACTGCATATCGTGACGCGAAAATGCGTAATCAGCTTTTCATCGTGATGTTACGCTCTAGAGCCCATCTTTTATTCCGTAATTGTTCACATTTTTATAAATTAATAAGGTGTGAGTTGACATTTCCCATGTATCTAGTAAAACTTAGAGCAGAAATATCAACGAAGCATTGTCTGTTATCATGTATATACCGTCTGTTTATCATATATACCGTCTGTTTATCATATATACCGTCTGTTTATCATATTTACCGTCTGTTTATCATATGTTACATGTCATATGTTTTTCCATCGTTACAAAACTGGAATGCCTCGTAAGGACTCCTGATTAAAAAAGGCAGTTTATTTTGATTTCTCCCTCTAATAAGAAGTTAAGCCCATACCGCCTTGTTATACTTCTCTTAGGACGCATTTACTCTGCTTTGAAGCAGAATATAACCTCTCAAAGAAGAAGGAAAAGTCTAGTCCTAACGCAGCAAGGTACTTTCCATCCATAGTTCCTTAAATTATAGGAAGTTGTCTGAAAACGGCCCTTGTACCTTTTCCTTCCTTATATAGTAATGATAAATGTTTCAAAGTAGAGTAAATACGTCATAAGAGAAGCATAACAAGGATCGAGGTTTGGGATCAAGGGTGTAATGCAAGGAAAGTTAATTGCGGTCGCGTATACTCTACGTACATATTAAAACCAGTTCTCTCTGGGCGGAATTTGTAAACAAGAATAGATGCATCAGTGTTCGTTTAGTATCCGAGGAGGTTAAAAGTATTGAATTTTGATAATTCACATAATAGTTTCCTATGACCAGAATATTTCATTGATTATGTATGTGAAAGATGGATCCCATGTCAGGCTTCGACATCCGTCTTGTGTTTACATTACCGCCCAGTGACAGTACACTGCAGTACAAAAGATGCGCACACCTCTGAAATAACTTTCCTTGCATTAAATCCTTAAATTATAGGAAGTTGTCGGAAAACGGCCCTTGTACCTTTTCCTTCCTTATATAGTAATGATAAATGTTTCAAAGTAGAGTAAATACGTCCTAAGAGAAGCATAACAAGGAGGTTTGGGATCAACTTCCTTTTAGAGGGAGAAATCAAGGGGAACTGCCTTTTTAAATCAGGAGTCTTTACGAGGCATTCCAGTTTTGGAACGATGGAAATACAGTGTACCGTCTGACCGTATAGGGACTTATGTCTTGTGCTAACGGAAAACGGAATACTAGTTTATAGTTTTACCAAATAAGTCCAAAAACCATATTTTTTTTTCAGTAAAAGAACTTGCCTCAAAATCTGATGGTCTAGTCTATCTTTGCAATTATAATTATGTGAACTTTTGAAATTTTACACTTTGAATTCATAGTTTGAAATATCAAAGACACGATTTTGGCATATATAATAGGTTAAATTGCATGAAAATATAAAACCAAAGAAAAAATTTAAGATCCTTCATCTTATTTAAATAATCTCCAAACATCTATATACACTGCAGAGACTTTCTCATATTATTAATTGTATAACTTTTTATCTTAAAATCCAACTATCCTGGCTTGCACTTGGCGATTTGTGATTCTAGAGCTAACTAAATCTACACTATACAGTATTCATACATAGGGTTTTAATTCTAGGGCCATTGATACCCGGGGTTAGTTATTCTAAAGGAATTGAGTTTTAGCTACAAACTCGGATTTTCTAATCCCTATATCTTTCGAACCCAATGTCGTAGACCTTAGATATTTTAAACTGTAAATTCTGTTGGCTAAATTTATCTAAGTTTGAAAGATCACAATGTTTAAATCATCAGGTTGCTAAGAAACAGGGTTATGCAGTTCTAGTGCCATTAAAACCCAGGGTTTTGTAATTCTCAGCCGTTCATACACGACACTGGGTTATACATTTCAGGACCGTAATACTAGTTAGTTAATACCTTTATATTGTAATTCAGAAGATGTTATCCAAAGAGTTTTTTTTTATTAACTCAAGGGTCTTTCATAACCGGGTGGTTGTAATTCTAATATTTGTAAAACTTGTAATTCTAGAGTCGTTAAACCCGGGAGTTTGTAATTCTAGGATCGTACATACCAGGAGGATTGTAATTCTAAAACGTTCATATCCTGGGTTTGTAATTCAGGACCGTTCTTACAATGGGGTTTGTAATTTTAAGCCGTTCATACCTAGAGGTTTGTAATTCTAGGACGTTCATTTCATGGGGCTTGTAATTCTAAGCCGTTCATACCCCGATGTTAGATATTTTAAGGCCGTTCAACCCGGGGATTGTAATTCTAAGTTTGTTCATGAACGTTCTGGTTATATTGATACCAAATATTCTCTCTTTAAACTAAGGCGACATTTCATTATCTTCTTATCAAGTCATTATTTTTTTTTCAATGAGACACATTGTTTATTTGGTATTCACACTTGGTTCATAATAATATCCTTGTTAATTAGATTTAGTAAAATTTCTACCTAAATTGAGGGTTAGATTGTAGAAGTATTTTCACGCAGTCCAAACATCCTCGGGATGCTAAACAAAAAAGTTCTTTTAGTTTGTTGTTTTCAATACCCTCTAAAACCCACGATGCCCTCGGGCCTCCCCCCCCCCCATCTCAATCTTAAATGCGTCCACCCTTTAAAGTTTTACAGAAGGAAGAGAAATCTAAATTTGAAAAATTCAGAAGACGACATTTATAGACATCTCTGTTACGAAGTTTGAAGGAGAAAACAACGCTATCTAAGTCATCTACGCTTCCATGAATTTAAACCTTGTCCTTGTGCCATTTCACTTTCACGAATGAATGAAAGGTTTACAGAAATGTCCTCCCCCATTTGCATATTTTTGTGACTCACTGTATACCTGCTAGATGTAATACAAGATTTCCTTCCACCCTGCCATGTTTGTGGCCTGCTAGTTTGTGTCCAGTATGCCCATGGTTATGCTCTACAAGTCCACCAACATGTCCATGAGAGTGCTTCAACTGTCCTTGGAACCCCCCATTAGTATAGTCCAAGGAGGTTGGATGATTATGCTCCAAAAATCTTGAAGGTGTGTCATAATCCATTGATCGGGACTAAATATGAAAATCATTCTTTTTCTTTAACCTCACTGTTTTTTTTTCTTTACTTTTCAGAACGTTATTATCAACGTAAGATAACTGAAAGATAACGATCAGATGACGGTTTAATGGTAACCGTTCATTGTTTATTTTAATTTCTCAAACGAGTTATCCTTGAAAATTACGTTGATAAATTTATCCGCCAAAAAACAAAAAGAAAAGATAATACGAAGAAGTTCTTTTCAGGAACCTGTTTAAAATTATCTCATTAAATTGTTTGAAATAAAGCATAAGCAGCAAGTTAAAATTTATTTTTGACACCCTGATTAGACAAGGAATGATGTTATCGAGCTTTTAGTTTAAATTTTAAAAAAAATATTTATTTAAAAAAATGATTTCCCTGATCGGAAAGTGTGAAATCTGTTGAACCATTCGAGGAATCCCTTTTGTCCCACACCTTTGATCCTTCATCTCTCTTGTCCCAAACCCTTGTGCCGTCTTCTTTTTTGTCCCATAACCTCGTTCTTTCCCCTCTTCGTTCTCTTGTTCCTTCTTCTTTCTGCTCCCTCGAACCATCTTCTGATTCCAACCATCGGAGCATATTTCTCCCATACCTGAAAATAAGAAATTCATTCAAATCTGTTTCTCCGTCCCCAAATATTTCCCCAAATAGTTAATCTGTTTCTCCGTCCCCAAATATTTCCCCAAAAAGTTAATCTGTTTCTCAGTCCACAAATATTTCCCCAAATAGTTAATCTGTTTCTCCGTCCACAAATATTTCCCTAAACAGTTAATCTGTTTCTCCGTTCCCAAATATTTCCCCAAGCAAATAATCTGTTTCTCCGTTCCCAAATATTTCCCCAAATAGTTAATCTGTTTCTCCGTCCCCAAATATTTCCCTAAACAGTTAATCTGTTTCGCCTTCCACAAATATTTCCCCAAATAGTTAATCTGTTTCGCCTTCCACAAATATTTCCCCAAACAGAATTAATCTGTTTCTCCAATCTCCATATCTCCTAAACAATTCCGTTTCTATCTAAGTGCAGTGTTTGTTTTAAATCAGCTGATTAAATTATTCAAATCTATGATGTTAGTGTGATCGAACCAGTTTTCAAGATTAGCTCTAGAATTAAATATTAGTTTATGATTATCAGTCTTACAAGAAATATTAATATATAATTCGTGAAATACTTGAACACATTTTAAATCATGAAACTAATGAATATTATGTGTGGATTACCAAAGCTCTCTGTATATCCAAAACACAGGTAAATAGATACTGAAGCGTTTGAATTATAAGACATAAAATACATATACACTGTACACTGTACACTGTACAATTTCAGCTGTACGTTTATATACAGGGTTACCCACAAAGTATGAGACTTCAGTTACGACTTTATGGAAATTTGTTAGTCCCTTTTTATATTTAGGATTCCCTGTAGGCCCAAACTGGTTTTTTTTCTATGCTTGATCATTTAGTAAAATACTAAGTTGAAGGCAGAACCCAAACTTAAAGCCTCAAATCGTCATATTTTAAGAGTTTGGGGTCGTCTTTATCCTTTGGGGGTAGCCCTGTACATACTTACTTTCTTTAACCTATTCGGTGCACGACCGAAGATATAGAAGTGGTTAGTGGACAATGTCTACAGTCTACACAACACAAAGCGACATTATAATGCATTATATATGTAATATGTATCTTCTTTGCTTACATTTCTTGCGCAGCAAAAATACATTTTATGAAACTAAATTGTGCACGCTGTCTCCGCTGTCATGCATGTTCATTTTTCAGTTCATGCTCAATGCTATAAAGTAAAGTTGGTTTCCGGATTTTCTCAATTTTTTTAAAAACTTTTCCGGAACTATTTTTTACAATTCTTATCTGAAAATAAGGAAATGAGTTTTTGCCACAAAATCTCATTTTTTTGCTTTACATCTTATAGCAACCCAATGTCCGTATACCTTTGATATTTCATACTATGAATTCTATTAGATCAGATAGTTTGCGTTGAAAAATCATCAGTTTACACCATCAGGTTGCAAAGATATAGGGATTATATAATTTGAGTTTGTGGCAAAAACTCAATTCCTATGCTTTATAATTGTTGCTTATAGTAGTATAGGCTTACGGCGAAATATAATCGCTTTTGATCGCTACTAATCTTTCTTCTATCTGTTGCGTCTATAAGGAGAAAATTGTTAAAAACGTCTCATACCGAAGAAGGTAGATTCCTTACAAATTCAGAAAATTGCAACATACGACTCCGATCGTAACAAAATCAATTTAATTCCAAACAAAGCATTCAGATATTACAACCTATAGTCATCGCTTATTTTTCGACGCATTCGTATATAGTTAATATTTCATAATATTTTTTACTTTCTATGATCCGAGAGTGACTTTTGGAAACATTAATTCCTGTTTCGAGGATTTTGATAATGAAGACAACATTTTCCATATTTTCCGGGAATGCGCCACTCGTGAAAACAAGTTGTAAGCGAAATATTAATTTTGAAAAACACAAAATAAAAAATATTATGAAATATCAACTATAGACAAATGCGTCGAAAAATAATCGATGACTATAGGATTTAATATCTAAATTATTTGTTTGATATTAATTTGATTTTTTACGATCCAAGTCGTATGTTCCAACTTTCTCAATTTGTATGAACGCTTCGTTCTTCGGTATGATAGAAGTAAGATTAGTAGCGATCAGAAGCGATTATTTATCGCCGTATAGCCTATACCGGCGCCTTTCATTTTTCGCGACCACTCCCTTTAAGACAAGTGAAGACACAAACATTTCATTGAAATTACTAATTTTTAATTAATTTTATTTAATTTAAATTTATTTTAATTATTTTTTTTGGGACGACTTATTGAAACTTTACAGTATGTGCAGCTATATAACCAAATGAGAGTATTAAAAAAAATATTTTCAGTTTGATGACTAAACCTATCTGTGTGTCTGGAAAGAACCTACCTCCAAATTCAGAAATCAAACTCAAAACAACTCTTTTCTGTCAAAAAAATAGGAATATTTTCATTTTTAATTTGTTTAAAACCGAAAAAATCAAAAATTGTATCCAAGAAAATAATTATTTTCGAACTGTCAACTGTCATGTTACATCACAGTGAACTAGACAGAAAGAAAAGTTCCAATTTATACAACACTCGGCATTTAGGGCGCTTCGCGCCCATCTTCTTTTTCAACTTTTGATTGTGGCTTTTCTGTGAGCATCCAATCTTTTTACGTTATAAAAAAAGTTTGCAGATTTCATAATATTTTTTTTCGCGCATTTTCAAAATTTTATAAAAATAACAAGCTTTTAAACAATAATTTTTGAAATTTTGATCATTCATAAACCTTCCCTGGGGTCACGTATGGTCCAACACAAAATTTGGGGCCGATCGGTTCAGCCGTTTTGGTGACGTTTATTGAATACAAACAGAGAAGCTATAAATTCATATATAGATTTCTGGCCTAACATTGTGACCTAGTAGCCTCTCTAGTTTTCGCAGAGCAAAATTATCCGTTTTCATATTAGAAAATAAAATACATTTTCTTCAATAGCTCGCATCGTTTAGAGGAGTTATGATAAAAAAATTGAACACACGTCTAATTAACTTTAGTTTGGCGTGACATTACTTTTATTGAATTCCATCTTAAACGTTCTTTAATTCGGATTTTAAGAAGGATTTGAGATTATTTCTTTTTATTCCTGGTAATCAAAATCAGAAAAATTAATTAATTTTTATTATATTTTCATTTTGCTTTTATAATTTTCGTCGAAGCATATTTGATATTAATCATGAATGAATTATTTAGATATAATTTCACCAGCTTGAATTTATACAAAACTACAAACAATGGATTTTTCTCTACCTCTACACATCCTACCCTAGACGGTAGTCAGTATACAGGAACAATAACATATTATTATTATTATCATTATCTTTTTGACATTATTCACAATCAAAATCAAAATTATAAAAGGAGTTCTTCTATATTAAATCTCTTGACAGTTATCAAGACAATGTCAGGTTTCCCATTTTCGAACATATCCTGAATTTGAAACACTGTCGCCATAGAGTAATAAAACGAAAAGGTGAAGCATAGCTCAGATGTACACAACCAACCTCCCTATTAATTAATTAATAGAGCGGTCGGTTGTATACATCACGATATGTTTACGTATCTAACACTGTACACTTGTTTATAGAGTGATCGTATTTCTAAGGGGGATTTTATGGAATTGACCAATTTTTAGATTTTATTTCTTTATTTTAATCCATATTAAGTGCCTATCTAATTATCAATACTAATATTCAAATATCTACATAAAACCACCCCTTAGAAATACGATCACTCTATATACAAGTGTACAGTGTTACATACGTAAACATTTCGTGATGTATACAACCGACCGCTCTATTAATTAATTAATAGGGAGGTTGGTTTTGTACATCTTAGCTGAGCTTCACCTCTTCGTTTTATTACTCTCTGACTGTCGCGTTTCGAGACAAAACCCACTTTCCCGTTTTTGAGTATTATCCACAATTCAAAACAAAACTCACTTTCATAACTTACAAAATAAATCACTGAAAACAAAAATTATCTTACAGTTAAACCCTAAATAAGCAATACATCGAAAGAATTCATCAAATGTAGTATTCTTCACATTTCTGATAATGGTATGTCGCAGATATTTAGTTTTTTAATTAAATGATAATATGGAACTCTTTAAAACTCTTCCCGCATATTCTGGCTATTTGTTTATTTTCGCAAATACTGAGATTTACGTAAAATAGTATAAAACCCATTGAAAAATTGTCAAGACGACATTTGATTAATTATTTCGATGTATGGCTCATTTAGGGTTTAACTGTATAAAGACTAAATTAACTTCTGAATTATTTCTAGAATTTAAGTTTCCACATTTTATCTGTTAAATTAGAGAGTATCGATGATTTATTTTCAAGCATTTTAAACAAACAGTTTCCCGCATTTTCAGTTAAATCTATTTTGTAAGAACAAATGATATTAATACTTAGATTTCTCAATGCTGGAATGATTTTTAAATTATAAAAGAACAGTTAGTTTTTATTTTCTATTTTGTGTATATTTTACCTTATTAAATAATCTTGTTTTGTTTCATAAGTGCGTGAATGGACCAAGAGTTAGTTTTGGAACTAATATCCCCTGTAGTATTCATAGCCGTGTCGATCTATGTAATCTTTATCATCTTAATTATAGATATTATGAATATCATTGTTATATCAATAAAATTTTTATTTTCCATCTTTAAAAATAATTAAAATCATTAATTTAAATTTTATTTAAAAATGTTTTGTTCAAGGCGATTAATATTACATAGTAAAAAGGGAAAATAATTATCTACAGTATGATTTTTAAAGTATTTAATATTCTTTGTAGATATCAAAATGACCTAAATCTAATGATGAACTGATCCAATTTTCGCGGATTTCTAATGATTTCCTTGCGAATTTTTATGCGTTCCCTTTGTTACATTTTCTAAAGATCATAATGTAGTGTTTAATTAATATTGTAATATATTATACATATGTTCATGAATCTGTAGGATGCCATCCTTCAGGTCCAGTTTGGTCTGTCAGACCCCAGGAAGGTTGAATAAAAAACCTTAGTTGACAATTTTCAGAACTTTATTAAATAAAAATAAACACATTGAACATTTTGTTTTAAATCTATGCCCCCAAAAATAATCGTTTCCTTTCCCTTTCGAAAATTTTAAAACTCATTTCGTTAACTTTTTTGAAATTTTTTGTTGTTGTAATTTTATCCTTGCGGATTGTTTAAACGGTTTCTATCAGCTGGAAAAAAACTTTTTTCTTGAGTTTAATCTTTTCTTAATAAGTTAAGATTATATTTTTATTATTTTTGTATTTATAATGTTAAAAAACGTTGGAAGGATTAGTAGGGGTCAGATATCTAATTTTAAATTCTTAATAAATAAATGTATTGAACTGAAAGGGTGCAGGATGGATCTAGAAAACGATTATGGAACGAGAATACTAGTTTACCGTTGACATATATATTTAAACTATTTGATTCACAGAACAATCTTATAGGTAACATACGTTAAATATAATTTTTAAAGCCTAATTTCAAGAGACCCTTTTAAATAAAAAAACTACAATATCTTTCAATTAAATCTTTTATATATAGGTATAAAGGGTACGGTTGTGAATCGGGCATTGTCATCTTTGCATTGAGGGTCACTTGCGATTACGCCTAACAGTTCCTTTAATGTGAAGATGTTTTTTTTTAATAGTCATGACTTCCTTTCCATTTTATCGTGGAGACCATTTATTGTTGGGTTGAATATTAAAATATAAAAAAAAACTAGATTAATTTATTCAAAATAATTCATACTTTTGTGCAAATATGTGTTTTCTATTTCAGGCGAAAGTTCTCTGATAAAATACATAAAAAGTCCTGAGGTTACCAGAATAGGAGTGAGGGAGGATATATTTGAAATAAAATAATTTATGATCGCTTTCCATTTTAATTCTTAAAAAAATCGATAAAAGCATTACGTTTTTGCCACAAACTCTAATATTCTAATCTAATATTTTTGCAACACTTTATAGTTTTTTGATATTTCAAACTAAAAATTTTGTTGGATAAAATTGTGTATGTCAGTTTACACTATCAAGTTTCAAAGAAATAGGAATTTTGAAATTTTGGTATATGGATAGAACTTAACTCTTTGAAAAAATTATAATATTTTAATCTTTTTCTGCTAATTTTTATGGATTTAAAATTTTTTTTTTTCAGTAATGGCCGATTCAGAGGAGCATTGTATTTACCAAGGAAATACAAATTCAAGATTAAATTATTCTGAAATGTTTATCCACTATTTCGGGGTTTAGGATTTATGAAATATGAAAATTCAAATATAAAGATTTCCCATAAACCAACTTTGAAGATCTAAATACAGATCTGAAATCTTGAATATTTATTTAAATATAAATATAAATAATTCTGTTTCTTCCATTAGAAGTTAAAAAGAATGGAATGTCTGATTAATAACCTCTATTTGAGAAATCTTAAGAACAATTAATATCACAGTTTGTTTCTGCATGTTTCTGCAGCATAAATCTACTACTAAAAATAATCAATTTTCATCTAAAAAATAAGGACATTTTATTTATCCTTGATCAGACAATGGTTTAAAAGGCATCAATTTAAATTCAATGAAGAATATCAAAATATTTTGAGTATTTTGCAAAAAACTGAGTTTAATTTTACTCTGAAGATTGGAGAAAGTTGAGGGAGGAAGACGAGCTATAATAACAATATTTGGAGGTATGCTGGAGGGTAGAGCTCCGGAAGATATGTAAGTTTTTTTATCAAAAATAATCCAGATTTTGTTGGAATTGTGAAGAGCTTTTAATTTTATCAAATTAAAAAAGCTATCAAATAAGTAATATAAATACTTATTCCAGAATTTGGAATTTGCATAATCTGGGGCTTCCTAATTTCCCATATGGAGTAGTAATATAGCAAATGTAATTTTTAGATACTTTTTAATCCCAGTGTTAAGAAAATATATATCGATATTAGACATTGAATAATTAATTAAACAAGTATTTTTCAGGGCAGCAATGCTTGCTGGTTCTGGATTTGTGACCTTTGCACTGGCTTTCTATGGCGGGGAGGGTCAACCCTCCGAGTACACTCATGTAGATATAGGTCATACAGTACATGCTGTGCATACAGTACACACAGTAGATACCGTACATACAGTACATACCATACATACAGTACATACCGTACATACAGAACATACAGTACATACAGTGTATACAGTACATACAGTATATACAGTACATAAATATATACAGTACATACAGTATACACAGTACATACAGTACATACAGTACATACAGTACATACAGTACATACAGTAAATACAGTACATACAGTACAAACAGTACATACAGTACAAACAGTACATACAGTACATACAGTACATTCAGTACATACAGTACATACAGTACATAAAGATATTAGTAGAAGGTGTACATTAAGACCAAAAAATCATATTTTACAGTAAATAGTACATGATACAGTTAATTATGAACGTTCAGGTTTAATAGAAGATTGTGTGGACTTCTTGAGGTCACTACCACAGGTCCATTCTTGTACTTCAGACTTAGCACATAAAGGGATAATATAAAAAACAAAATCAGTATAAAGAAAATTTATTAAAGTCATCTTTATCAAATGTGAGACATTCTGGTTCTGAATTTGAGTAGATTTTAATTATAAGTAAGACTACTATTATAGAGAATCATTACTTTTGATTATTGTTATTTAGGTTGAAGATAAGAGAATAAACTTGTTTGGAATATCAAAAGGAGCAGATTTATCTCTGTGTACAGCTGCATTCTTAGGTGCATACATTATACTGTACACGCAAAACAACATTTGTACACATTTTTTCATTTTACGACGTTTACATTTTACAAGATTTGGGATCCGACCATTGCTGATAAATAAAAGGGAAAAAGGGATAAAGTGCAAAAAAGTTTCTTTTCAGGATCAAGAAGATAATGTTAAGATTATATTTTAAGAAATAAACAGATATTTATTATAGATATATGTACAATGTACATGAAAAACCGTACATGATGTACAGTGTACACTTGAGTTTAAAAGAACATGTATCGTATCCTGGACTGGCTGAAATGCTTTGCATTTTTTAAAAACATAAAATATGAAAATCCTGAAATATGATTTATGTAGCAAATTTAATAAGTTGGAAAAGAAATTGAACGAAATTCAATTTTTCATTTCACGAAAAATCATGAATAAAATCAGTGAAAAGTAGGATTTATGCATTCTGAACAAAAAATACATAAATCCTATCTATACAGAGGCAAATCTGGATCCTAGATCCTGGATCCACCTTGGGAAAAAGAATCATCGAATCCAGCTCATAGTTTCTTATTCATTTTCTTGGTACAATATACTTTCTTTTACAGAGACAACATTTTTGGAATTTTTATCCTTTCATTAAATTAACAACCACAGAGAAAAATGAATCTCCACAGATATTGGTAATGGATCCTGAGGCCGAATGAAAAAAAATTTGAGCGGCGGCTTAAATTTAAACAGCGGCTCAAATATGGTTGGTTCCACATAAATTTGTATTAAGTTTTTTAAGACTTAAGCCGACGCTCATTTGAAACCGGTTTTTGGATGATTTGAGACGCGGCTTAAATTCATTATATTCATTGATTCAGGAAGCTAGTTTATTGCATGCATTTTGTATTTTTTCACGTAAACAAAACAAACCAAATTTGAAATATTTAGAAAATAGTTGCTCAGAAAGCTTTTTTATAGGGTTATAAATTTAAGTATTTGTATTAGTACGCTTGAAACTATTTAAAGTTAGGATTGGAATTATTTAGGAAATAAAATACGAGGAACAGTTGCTGTAAATAGCTTTTTTGGTAGCTTTAATGGAGACACATTTTACAAGGTATTTCTTTTAATTGAAGATTTCCGAAGATTTTTTGGAAACTTGTGAATTCTTTTGTCTGTGTCTCATTAAATGAACCTACAAATTAATACACATTGAGCTTGAGATATAAATAATCCCATGGTAAACTGGCTTTTTAACTTGGTTTTGAGTAGTGGAAATACACCGCAATTTTGTTTCTTACATCTTTTTAATCTAATTTCATTTACCTTTGACATTTTAAATGATGAAATCTGCAACATAAAAGTTTGAAATATAAGAGGTTCAAAGTACTATGTTGTAAGGAATTCGAATATTAGCTTATTTATGAAATATAGAGAATGTTTTTCTTTAGAATGAATCAGTAAAATGGAATGGATTGGATATGAAGATATTAAATAAGGTGAAGAATATTTCTAGATATTTTTAAAATATTCAAAAGTATTTATATTATATCATATGGAAATATCTTGGGATTTCTTTATTTCTGTTTCTTCATTTTCTTCACCTTAATATTTGGCTAACTTTGAAAATAAAAAGAAAAGATTTTTTTGGATGTCCTTGTAGTTCCCCACTTTACAAGAATGAGCTATTTTTAAAAGAATCTTGCTTTTTTTACTGAATTCTTCCTTTTAATTGAACTAGCAGAGCTTCTCTTTCTAATCTCTTGTAGACAAGGGAAAAATGCATTTTGACGCATATTTCTTATTTGTTCTTGTTTATGTATGGCATTTCAGGATACTTGCGTCAGCTTCATTTGCACACTTTCTAGAGAATTTTATTTCGGGTGGAATACATAGAGGGGAGAGGGGGACGTCTCCCATCCTGTGTTTGTCTTAATTCCCTATCGGCAAAAAAGATAGTGTAAAGCTTAACATCTAATTTCAAAAAGTTCAATAAGTTCAATAATTTCTTCTTTCTTCTTGTTAATCTTGTTTCTACACTTTGAAGATTACAGTTAACCCTATTCCTGCTGGGGGGGGGGTCAATTTGACCCCCCCCCCTGTAGTTTTTTTTACATAACTCAAACAGTATTGGTCTGAGGCTGTTGAAATTTTCTGACTTTTCTTACATATCCAAAGCTCTCCCTTTAGGCCTAAAACCGGCCTTTAATACTAACTGCCTGAGTCCTCAGGAACACTGCCTGAATGACTGCTTTTGCCTGTAACAAACTAAATCTTTGTTTTGACCCACTTTCACTTGTCAGATTTTGATAAAATTTAGCTTTTTGGAAAGCCTATGACATAAGTAAACGGATTGCACAAGTTTTGTGAAAAAAAATTGCAAATTTTTTTGCAAACAACCTGTCAAAGGAAATTTGCACATTTTTAGTATAATTTTTCATTTTTTTGAAAAAAATTTTTTTTGCAAACATTTTTACTATATAACTGGATTTTGCGATAAAAAATTCTATTTTTGCAAATTTGCAATTTTTTTTGCAGATTCTAAAAGTAGAGCACAAGAGCTTTCTAATGATGTATCATTTGTCATATTTGGACATAAAACATGGGATTTAGAGGGGGGGGGCGTCAAATTGATCCCCCCCAGCATATCCTGGTTTTCAAGTACCCCAGCAGGGATAGGGTTAAAGGGACTGTAAGCTTAATTTCGTGTGACCCTTCATGCAAAGATGGCAATGCACGATTCACATCGGTACCCTTAAAAGTTTTTTTTCTGATTAAGCAACTTATTCAAAGCGATGAAGAAACTCACAGAAATAAACAATTTCACATTTTTGATCAGAGTAAGGTTTTAAGGGTACCGTTGTAAATCTGGCCTTGCCATCTTTGCATGGAGGGTCACTAAAAATTACTCTTATAGTCCATTTTATCCTGATCAGAAATAAGATTTTAGCATGAATAGAAATTATGAGAGATATGATTAAAACTATGTATACTTATTTATGTGCTATGATGAAATCATGTGTTTAGCTATATGTAGTAAGATTAATAAGATATATTTTGTGATATCGATGTATTCGAGCTGTCTTTTCTAAAAATCAAAGCTTTGCGGCGCACTTCTTTTAAAGCTACAATAAAAAGGCTGTATAAAAAGATTCATTTACCCTAAACCGCCATGATTTCTTCCTCAATAAAACCATTTTGAATATATATTTTATAACATTTGATCGGAGGAGGAATGATAACACATGGTTCATGAATCATAGACGTAGAAAACTGATTCAGGGTACAATACATTTAAAAATGTGAAACACTTGAGTTTTGTTTAATTCTGAATCGTAATTAGTCCAAATTAAATTGTTTAAAATTAAAATCAAAAACAAGGTTTGTTTAAAATGTCATATTTCAAAAGGAATAAAGTTTTATATATAAATAGTTAGATACGGAAACGCTTTTTGACATTAAATTGAATTTGTACAGGAACTGACATGTAAACAGGCCGGTATATGATGGTCTTTTGACGCCCCTAATCTTACATTATAAAAGACAGCTTTCTGAGAAATTCTTTGAATTCTCTGAATGCAATGCATTATTAAACTGTTTTATTGTCCAAAAAAAGGTGAACAAATTAGTCAATAGTCACTCTCCAAGTTTTAAGGAAGAACGCTATTCTAAAAAACAATAAAAAATTCTTTTTTAGTCACGAAACAAAAGGATCCAGGATATTATTAATGACCAAATACTAATTTACCGTTTTCATTCATATTTTTTAAGGAATTGAGTTTTTTGCCATAAAACACAAATTTGCAAATCCCTATATTATTGCAATCTAATGGTGTAAACCTTTTATATTACAAACGGAGACTATTTGATCTAACAGAATTCATAATTTGAAGATTTACGAAATTGGATAGCAAAAATTTAGGAATTAGAAATTGGGAATTTGCGGCAAAGAATCAGCTTTTTTATCTTCATAATCCAGTCCATATTTATTTAAGAGAAAGGTGAACTCAAATATCGGTTACTGTATGTACTTAGCTTGATGTTTGGTTTGTTTAAGTCCAAAAACCGTCGAAACGGCGAAAAGACTAATTTTTTTCTAAAACCTAAAATGGCCCAACGGAAGGTTTATGAAAGGTCGGAATTAAAATAAGATTTGCAACCAAATAAATGTCAAAATAACAAAAAAATAATGAAATGTTCTTATAGAAAGAAAAAAACAGAAAAACTTGTATTGCTAATTCTTTATATGCTTTAGGGAATTACATCTGACCAGTATTGCAATATAATTCGACAGTTTAAAGAGTAAGATTAATAATATGTGAATACATTCTATAGATTTATAATTAAAGGCCGAAAAATTTAATGTATTTTTTTTTCTTCAGAGATCCTGATAAATGGATTCCTGTAGAGAGAGTAGATGGTCCTATACTAGCAATAAAAGGACTAGATGACGTGTAATATAAAAATCATTTATTTAAGAACTATTTTAAATAAATTTAGAAAATATGGTTTTAATCATTTAAAAACTTGTTTTTTGGAAGAATAAATGCACATTTGACCAAAATGGATTATAATTGTCAAAGTAATCATCAATTGTCAACTATCATACTATGTTGATTGCAGTCGAAATATTGTTTTTAATGCTTAAATAGTTTATACAATAACTGCAAATCTTTATATAGAACCCCTACCATTGAATTTGCCCAGATTGCGCAGCAAAGAGCAAAATCCAGAGGGAAAACAAATTTTGAGGTATTTAACCAAATCTAGAAAATTTATGAATTATTGATTAAATTGTCTGAACTTATTATCTTTATTTTTAGGTGATTAAGTATACAGGTATTCAAAGAATAAAAGAAACTTCAAGAAAGAATATTTTTATTTTGAACTCTAATATAGTTATGAAAATGTACTGAAGCTCAAGTTGATTCAAAAGTGAAATTAATCAAAAACTCAAGTGATGTAAACTTATACTTTCAATCAATTTAAATCGATCAGAGAAAGAAAATTATCTCTAAATGTAAATCATCTCCTAGTAAAATTTTAAGATTGACCACTACGAGATCATATTTTCTCTGAGATCAATTTGAAACAGTTCTTTATAAAGTTTTTATCTTAGTTCTATTTTCCAGGTCTTGGGCATCTTCTAGGTTTATCATGATATAACAAAAAAAACTATATTTGATTTAAGATGGTTCAGAGAATACAAAAGTCGATTGTTCCAAGTACGGGAATATTTAAAATGAAAAGGCAAAAAAAATTTTTGAAAGTTTCATTAAATTATTTTGAGAAAAATTGACTATTTTTTCATTTAAATTTTAAAAGCATTTTAATTAATAGCTTTACTTTCCTATTCTATTTTTAGCAAAATAATTGTTTAAGTAATTTTTCCTTAAAGAAACGGATGTGAATAGAGGATGTCCCGCTTTAAATAGAATTCACTTGAAATTACGCTCACAGTCCCTTTAAACTAAAAGAGCCTGTATATACGTTTGAAAAGTGTAAAAATAGAACCTTGTTTTGAAAAACCAAAGTATACATATGCATGGATCTGTATAATTTTATATATCTTGAAGAGCCAGCAAACTATCCTGTGTGCACCAGCGCTAGATTATTCGGATGGGTAAGTTTGTTTACTACAACAGAAAAAAAGGATTCGTCAAAATTAGAAAGAAAATTTGTTGAACCAGTGTTTAACTTATTCTTCAAACAAAGGAACTGAATACTTGCCTCAAACTTTAATTTTATTATCTCTATAATTTATTATTCTGTAATTTGATATTTTAAACATTTTGACATCAGACTATTTGATCTAACAGAATTTGTAGTTTGAATATCAAAGGTCAAAGATTGAAAAGTTTGAGTTTGAGGCGAACCTTTAGTTCTTTTTATTATTACCAATATATTTAGGATATACAGTATGGAGGAAAAAATATCCAACGCCATGCTTTAGGTATACATTATCTTTTCTAAAATTGATTGTACACTAGATCTTTGTGGACCTATCATTTATACATTTAAAAAAAAAATATTTTTTTTTTAGCACAACTTGATGCTTGGGGAAGAATACTTCATTTTATGAACGCAAAATAGTTTAAATTTTAGTAATTTTTTTTTAACGTTGAATAAAAGAATTGTTGATTGGAATAAAAACTTTATAAAAAACTTATGTGTTCAAGATTTTAAATAAAGGTTCCAGATTTCAAATAATTGTTCCAGATTTCAAATAATGGTTCCAGATTTCAAATAATGGTTCCAGATTTTAAATAATGGGTCCAGATTTCAAATAATGGTTCCAGTGTTCATATAATGGTTCCAGAGTTCAAATAATGGTTACATATTTCAAATAATGGTTCCAGATTTCAAATAATGATTCCAGATTTCAAATATTGGTTCCAGATTTCAAATAATGGTTTCGGAGTTCAAATAATTGTTCCAGATTTCAATAATGGTTACAGAGTTAAAATAATGGTTCCAGATTTCAAATAATGGTTACAGAGTTAAAATAATGGTTCCAGATTTCAAAAAATGGTTCCAGATTTCAAATAATGGTTCCAGATTTCAATTAATGGTTTCAGATTTCAAATAACTGTTCCAGATTTCAAATAATGGTTCCAGATTTCAAATAATAGTTCCAGATTTCAAATAATGGTTACAGAGTTAAAATAATGGTTCCAGATTTCAAATAATGGTTTCGGAGTTCAAATAATTGTTCCAGATTTCAAATAATGGTTCCAGATTTCAAATTATGGTTCCAGATTTCAAATAATGGTTCCAGATTTCAAATAATGGTTCCAGATTTCAAACAACTGTTCCAGATTTCAAATAATGGTTCCAGATTTCAAATAATAGTTCCAGATTTCAAATAATGGTTTCAGATTTCAAATAACTGTTCCAGATTTCAAATAATGGTTCCAGATTTCAAATAATGGTTCCAGATTTCAAATAATAGTTCCAGATTATCTTGATTATAAAGAGATTGTTTAACTATTTTAAAAGAGAATTTACAAAAAAACTTTATACGGGCATTTGATTGAAATCAACAGAAAAACAATATTTATTTCTACAAAAATAAAAAATTCTGTCCCTCAGCGAAAAATAAACTTGGAGTAGTCCCAATCGCAAAAATTGAAAAGTTTTGAATGTTTGAAGAGAAATTAACGATCACAATTCAATTCTTGAATTACAAAAAAGGTTGAACCCAAAGTATTTCCTGCTCTCCATTAGAAATGAATAAATGTCATTTGAAATCCGAATATTATGAAACCGGAGCCATGGCTAATAATTAAATAAGAATCAAGAGAATAGAATTAGTAGGGGTTAAAGCATGAGACCGGAAATCATTTATTTAATTCTCTTCTTTCAATACAGGAACACTATCAATCCATCAATCCAACATTTAATTCTGTTAAAAAACCAGTATTAGATTAAAGAACCCGCCTCGATTCCCAATTCTCAAGATACAAGTGTTTAAAGGGAGTGTACGCAAATAAAAGTTGAGGTCACTTTTATTTGGTTTGTGACTCGAAAGAAAGTGTTAAATGTGAGAAAAACTATTTGAGACTAAAGAAGACTGATACAAATTTAAAATGAAGAAAATATCCAAATATCCTTGTTCAGTACCTGACCAATATATTAATTAACGTGGGTTAGGTTGGGTTAAGACAACTTGTGTTCGGTAACTCGAACATGTCTCGACCGAGCGCCGAGCGCTGTGATTTGGGGGACGAGCGCGGTTAGTGTTGTTAATTAATTTGTCCGTTTTTACTTTTTGGTTCGTTTTTGTATGTGTTTTCTCTCAGGGTCGAAACTTGTAAAATAGAAAAGAAAATGTTTATTCTAAACATTTGCTTTTATTAGTAAATGCCAACTTTTTACCCTGAGAGATAATAAATGCAAAACTTGAACAAAAACGAACTTGTTAAAACAATTGTTTATTTTTTTTATTGGATAGTAATTTTGCAAATAAACCCCCTATTCTCCTCATTGTCTTGTCCAAACGATCTTTGAATGCTCGTTTTTGCAATATAATCTTTGTGAAATGTTTAACTTTCAAATATCTTAACCCGTTTTTCTTAGATCTGGCTACGTTAGGACATAATAATGATTGAGTTTCACACACTTAAAAAATGGTTTTAATTAAATTAAGGTGTTTAAGTACTATGTTTTTAAAAAGTGCACACTCTTTAAGCGTATTTTCAGACATTTCTAGTATAATATGTCGCAAATAATTCATAAAACTTTAAATTATTTCGGCAATCAATTTCATGAAAAAAAGCACAAATATGACAAATATGCTGCTATTCATTTTATGTCGTAAAAGTTAAAAATTACACAGGCAGAAGAGATTAAGCTTCACCTAGAAAAAAAATGACAGTATCTCCAGTCTCCACTAAGGTATTGTATTCCCAACCTAACATGACCGGTTTTTTAAAATCTTGCTTAAAAAACCAAAGAATTTCATTACTTTGTAAGAAAAATGGATTATCATATGGATAATGATAAGAAAATGAGGAGAATGTGGCTCGGACGTGGCCTGGACGAGCCTCGAACTTGGCTGGCCTTCTAGCTTTCAGCCCTCTTGTATAACAACATTTAAGTGATGTAGATAAGAATTTTGAAATTGTTCAAGAAACTTAGAAAATAAATGTTTTCTTATCTACCACCTTAAAAGTGATATCTTAAGAAATAATCCGAACAGATCATTTTTGTATTTTTTTTTGAGGAATTTGGCGAATTTAAGTCTTTGCCACAAACTCTGATTTTATAATACCTATATCTATACAGCCCATTATCGTAAATTTAAATATTTTAACATATACATTATTTTTTTTTAACAGTTTACACGATCAGGTTAAAAAAATTAAGGATTAGAAAATTCAAGTTTGTGGCAAAGCCCGGACATTAACTTCCGAGAAGAGAGGGGGGGGGGCGAAGATGTCAGTGTTTTAACCCTGGAAACCCTGGACAAGGTTGAGGTTGAGGTTAATGACTGGATCTTGTTTTATTGATAGTATATAGTATAGTGGTGCTAGGAGGACCAGACAAGTATCTTATGTCAACCAAAGAAAAGATATTTCTCGTAGAAAAAGCAGAAGCTGGCCCTGGTTTCCTTCCCCGGCATACAGGAGTAAACAGGAAAACTAGAAATGGTCAACGTTTGAGAAAGAAAAGACCCGAGACCCAGAAATATTTGGCAAAAGAAAATGGATTTAAAGCAGACTCTGAGGAGTACGGAACGGATTATATAAACTATGAAGCTTATTACAGTACTTTGAATTCTTTAAACGAGTCTAAAAAATTGAATTCAAGTATATCACAGAATATGAAGATAACAGCAGTTATACCGAAATCAACCATGAGACCCCCAAAAGGTACACAGCTGTATCCATTGATTATTTTTAAATATTTAAAATCATTTATTGTTTTGTACAATATGCAGCTTAAGGATAATAGTTTAAACTAAATTTCAAGTGAACCTCCATGCAAAGATGACATTTCCCGATTCATAACGGTAACATTGAAACCTTTATCTGATCAATAGCGTTTTTTGGTTTAAATGTGGTTAATTCTGATAATTCCTACATGTTTTACTAAAGTGAAAATGCGCAAATCATCTCTGCAAATAAACCACAATTGAAAATATCAGTTTTCAAAATAATAAACATTAATATCTAATTCATATTTGATCAGACAAAGCATTTAAGAGTACCATTGTGAATTGGACATTGTATGAAGCATCATTTGAAATTATGCTTACAGTCCCTTTAAACCTTATTTCTAAAATGGATCTAGGATTTCAGAGTTCTTAACGCCAGTCTTTTTAGAAATAGTTTTGATTTAAATATTATATTTCCATTGTGATTTTTATTTTAATTTCACGCATTTAAAGATATATAAAACCAAATATTTTTAAATGACATTTTTGAATCCAGACCCGGTTATAAACCTTTCCCGGAGATCTGAGACGATAGACAATTGGGTGATCAGAGCTGAAAGCTTTTGAATTGTGAATATTGAGATCAATGCTTGATCTCTTCCTTGCAGTAATATCCAGGAAAAAAAATAAAATTCATGTGTTTCGATTTTAGAAACCGAACTGCCTATCAGAAGCCGAGAAATTTTAAAATTTTTAATAGTGATCAATGAGAAAAGTCTTATTGGTCGGAATTCGACATGGATTATCCTGAAGACAGGATTTAGAAGAAAAATAAAGTGTCCACAGTGGATACAGAGATTTAGCAATCGGGATAAGGGATATCCAATACAAGAGTTTTCAGTTCAGATCAGTTTATCTGTTATTGGAGTCATACAAAAGTTGAGAGTACAGATGTAATAGTTGAGGATAAGGTTGAGGGAGGAGATTACAGTATTGATCCAGTAATATCTGGAGACAAGGAGGATTACTATTCAGACTCATATAGTCAGAAGGATTAAAAACAGGTTGGAATATTATTTCTAAATCTAAACCTTCCTAGGAGGGGGTTATCTAATTTATCAAATATGGAACGGTTTATTAAAGAGATGGAGTCCTTGCCACTATCTCAAAGAGTCTAATCACTATATTATTGCAACCTGATGGTGTAAACATTTCTTTGTTTCTAGACACAAACATACTTAAATATTTACAACTTTTGTAGATTAAACATTTAGCGTTTTCTGATATATTTGCTTTCCAATATGAAACTTTTTAAAAAGAGATGACATGACGTTAAAAAATAGACGAAGCTTTATTTTGGGTTAAATTTTAATTTCCCTGAACAAACTTTATTTATAAACCCTTTATCTCTGCATCTTATTGGTCTATATAAACCTTTGATCTCGGAACAAATAGATTCAGCAGAATTCTTATCTAGAAATATCTTAGGTCTACAACAACAAATTGAAAAAAAAACAATTAAATTAGAAAAATTAAATTTGAGCCACGTTTCTGTCAGTTCCTTTTCCCTCGAACAGCAACTATACATCGTAAATATATATTACTTTATACTGAATGAGTTCTGTTTTTTCGAAATATAGTACTGAGAGTTTTTAACATAACCACCCAGTTTCTTGAAGTCACTTCCCCTTTTTAAACGAGAATGTTTCAGGAAAGCATCAAAAACTGACTTTTTAGACACAGATCGATAAACTAATGGTTTTCACATTACAAAATCGTCTATTTATATACATTTGTTTTTCTTCTAGAGCTCATTCCTGCACGAAAGTTGAGAAGATGAGTAGATGAGTTAACCAAACCTTGTTACATACTAATATTGGGTATCTTACTAACCTATAATTCAATACATTGTATCCCTACAATTTATTCGTATTTTAAATTAATAAATTTCAAAAATTTTATAAAAAATAAATGTTCACAAAGTTATTTAAAGGTAATTTAGACGTTAATTCAATTGTGACTCCTCATTTTAGAGTTGCATGTCAGATTCACAATCTGTAAAAGTGGCTTGCACATTTCTTGCACTTTTCAATCTAGAATAACGACGATATCTTCCACATTTTTGATCAGAAACAGGTTTAAAGGGGAGAGTTTTGAATCAAGCATCCACCTCAATAAATGGTGGGTCACTTAAAATAGTCCTTTCAGAAAAATATTTCTAAAATTTAAATGAGCATTTTTTTGACTAAAATATTTTGTTACTTTAGCCCTAAAGGGACCGTAAACGTTGTTTTAAATAACCCTTTATTCTTCTCTTGTTTTTTATGTTTATGTGTATCCATCCTGTTTAATTGCTTGATATTTATAAAAATTGAGATCGAAAGTCGTCGTCATTTTGTTAATATAATTGCCTACCACTGTATCTAAAATAATTATGATGAAATTATAAAAATTGTATAGGTTTTTTATAAAATCAAAAAAAAAATAATAATATCTTTGTCATTGAATTACTTGGAACCACCATGTAATTGTATATCTCTCTGCATTTTATGATTACAGTTGCAAAATTAAAGCAATTTATAAAAATTATTTTTTTTTAAAAGCCTTTTTTGGTATTTGATTTGTTATTCATTATGATTTGCTATTGTTTACAAACATTTTCCAGGTCAAATATTTGTTTATAGTTTAGTCAAATTGTGTTTTCTTAAGTTGGCACATATATGTATTTTGGTTAAAGCATATTACATATCAAACTGAAAATATATGATGATTAAGTGCTTCCTGCTAGGTCTAGGTCTAGGTCTAAGGTAGATAATCATTTTTATTTTATCTAATAATAAATTGTAGCTTTTAATATTGTCCATTTTTAAAGTCTGACCGGCCATTACTTTCTCTGGGTTTATATGTATTGTGGTCTGGTTAGTTCAACCAAAAGAGAACTACCCAAATAAGCCTGCAGTGTGTCTAGTATCTACGTACATTAATATTATTGACTGTAAAGTTTAATATTAATATCAAAATTTTGAAAATAATGATTTGATCTCTTCAGTTTAGTTGAAGGTAGTCTTTTCCTTGGAAAAACCCAAAATGGTATTTTCCTTTTTAAACTTCAAGCTGAAGTTCAAGCTGAGGATAGAGGAAGGTCTGCAGGAAAGTGTCAAAACTTTATATCGTATTAAAAGATAATTTCCCGGAAACATTCGATCTACAGATTTTTCTCAGATTTTTCGGTTGGTTGAACACTGTACATGGAGACAGTTATTTACATTGTACACGGAGTGCATATATCTAGGGTTTCCATTCGCAAAACTTTTGCGCAATTTTTGCGGAACGAAACGCAATATTTTTCTTTCTTTGCGCATCAATTTTGCGAAACTCAAGTTTTGCGCAATTCCGTAACAAGAGTTTTGCGCAAATCCGCAATTTCGTAAAAATCAAACGGTTGGTGACGGTGTGTGTTTCTTAGAATTCAATTCTGGAAAAATCTTGTTTTGGAATGTCTTCCTATTGGTCACTTTTACATAATTGACCAATGACAATTAAGAAGAGTTCAAATCTCACAATTTTCTCGACAATTTTAGTTTTGGACATGCATATTTCCTAAAAGTGGATTCTTCAGGCATTGGTTACAGTCTTGCATTATTTTATATGAGATTAAAAAGATTTCAGAAATTTGATTAAAAAAATTTAAGAATACAATTCATACTCATGATTAAGCAAAGCTTTTAAGGCCGGGTCACTTGAAATTATTCAATAGGCTTAAAATATTGCCAAGTTTCACACTCTCTAATTTCTATTTTATTAATTTTGGTCCCTTAATTTAAACTTTTTGTAACTGGAAGTATAATCGTTATCATACTCGTATGTTAATATTTTTTTTGTATATGGAATAATCTTCAGTTGTTTAATTCTAAGCTTAGAATATCAATTTTTGACAATGTGCCTAAAAAGTTACATTTTGCGTAAAACTTGCGGTTTTGCGCAAAAACTTGCGGTTTTGCGCAAATTGCGCAAAAAAAATTGCGCAAAACTAAAATTTCGTTTCATGCGCAACTTTCGCAAAAAATATTTCCGGTTTTGCGCAAATTGCGCAAAATAAATAGCGCAAAACCGCGCAAAACTCATTGCGTTTCATGCGCAAAAATAGCGCAAAAGTTCGCAATAATAAAATTTGCGCGAAAATAGCGCAAATTTTGCGCAAAAGATTTAGCCATTTCGTGGAAACCCTACATATATCTACTTACTATGAATACTGCACATGGAGAAAGTAATAAAAACTTCTAACATTATTTAGCAGTGAAATAAGTCAAAGCCATAATTCGTTTGTACCTTAAATATCTGATTACAATACATGGTTTGTTTTTAAAACATATAAGAACACAGGCTTTCAAGGCACCCGTATTCTAGCAACGAATTTAGCCTTTAACTTTCGCTTTTCAAGTCGCAATTTCTTCTTTATACATCGTGAAACTAATAATTTTGCGGATTTTGTTGGATTTCTAAAGTTTAAAATCTACATTTTTCAACGTTTTCAATTCATTCGTCCATAAACCATTCCCGGGGTGATACCAAAAAATTGTGGGCCTAATTATTTCAACCATTTTGACGTTTATTTGATACAAACAAACAAGTAAATATATATTTAGATTTTAACAGGTTAAAACTTAAATCTAAGAATTAGAAATCTCACAGATGAAGCCTTTATACATTTAAAGGTCAAGATCAAAATAATCAGTATCAATTATGTTCCATGAGAAATCAAAATATCTTTCATTTGCTCATTTAAAATCCAAGTAAAAACGCTTAATTACAAAACAAAAATGTTCTTCATATTACAAGCCCTTTAAACTCATTTCATTATTTGCATAAAAATTAGCTTTTAAAACAGAAAACCAAAACCTACGAATTGGAAGACTTAAAGTTTCCATTGGCTGAAAGTCTTTGCCGGTTTTTTAAGACTTGGTTTACAAGAGAAATTGTATATAATTTCCAAACTAAACCCGAATTAAATGAATTTGGGTTCAAATTGAATGAATTTCAGCCGCGTCTCAAATCCCCCAAAATTGAGCGCCGGCTTAAGTCGTGAAACACTGAATACGATTTTAAGTGGAACCAACCATATTTGAGCCGCGGCGCAAATTCTTTAAATTCGGCCTTTGAACTGACTACCACCGACTTAAATTCAAATCACCGCGTTGTTAGAATACTTCCTGAATCTTTAACTTTAAATCAGTAGTTCAAATATGAACCGACAATATATATAGTTCAGCAACGCAGATTAAATTCATTAAATTTTGATTAATGAAAAGTTATAACCGGCTATAACAATTTTACAAACTGTCATTTTATGGTTCTATTCTTAAAAGTTAGTATGGCAAAAACTCGTTGAACAAATTGAATTTTGAATCATGTTCCAAATAGATAATAATTTGCACTGATACCTGGAGATCTGGAGGAAGAAAACAGAGGCTTAAGAATTGGTTCCAAGGGAAGAAAAGAACTGTACAGTACTGCACAGCGGCCAGGGGTCAAACAGGCACTGTACAGTATCAAAGAACTGCAGGGGGCAGAACTATCATCCACAATACCCCCGGCAGGTAAACAAAACATTACTCTAATGGAATTGTTTGGATTTTATATAGAAAATTAAGTAGGTATTGAAATTTGAACATGTAATTTACTCCCATTTAAGATTGGGATTGCTCTACTGAAATATTACCGGTCCGGTCCTATCCTCATACTGTAGCTATAGTTGAATATGACCAAGAATATCATTATGTATTCTATAGTTGAATATGACCAAGAATATTATTATGTATTATATAGTTGAATATTGCCAAGAATATTATTATGTATTCTATAGTTGAATATGACCAAGAATATCATTAAGTATTCTATAGTTGAATATGGCCAAGAATATTCGGACTCAGGTCTGGGTGCATCAAGTTTAAAGGATTTCTATGCAGATTATTATAGTGAACAAAAATAAGGTATAAAAAAAATTTTAAGAGAAAAAAAATGTATGAATTTACGAATTTAAATATACAAAATTTATATTCCCGTCAGAAAAGTGTTTTCTTTTATGAAAAATGTGCCTTTTAAACGGTAAATGGTTTCATTCTTTATTTTTGACAGAAGTCATTTCCAGAACAGATTCTACTTCCATTTAATTTAATTGTTTATGATTAGTTAATCTAATCAGTTCACATTTTAAATGCACACTGTACACTGCATATGTGCACACTGCACAGAGCAAAGCGCAAGTACACTGTTTACGTACAGCTTAAGCAAAAATTGTTGAACATTTTGCTAATTACTTAAACATTTTTTGGCTAACAACAAGTGCTTTACAGTGCTAAAATGTAAATGTAAGGGGCTACAGAAAAGCATAAGTGAGTTTGAGCGGTAAAATCTAAGCTTAGGGCGTCGCGACACTTCAAAGTCAACCCTGTCTTAAAAATTGACAAGACTGTTTATATGCAGGCTGCACACTATATAGTCCCCTGCATACTGCACACAACCAACACCCAGCACACTGTACATTTCAAATTTCATCACACTGCACAATACACTGTTGCACAGTGTGCAGTGGGCATTATTTCGATCAACATGACAAATTTTGAATTTAAACCATTTTGTAAATAGAAATTTAGCTTGATCTGGCTTGAGGGAAAGGAGATATGTTTTCATCCTCATGTTTTTGATAAAACATTTTTGAAAAACAAACGCGGGAATTACAATTCTTGTCGTTTTTTTGCAAAAGGATTTCTATACTAACATCATTTAAATTTGAACTCATATTATTTTATATTTTTTATAAATAATCTAATTGATATAATTATTAAACATGTATATTATATATATTAACTAATCATATATTTCATTTATGTATTTAAATATAATTTCTAGGTCTGTGGTACACAGGAGTTTACTGAATATCCCACCAGGACAATATTAATAGATGTTGTCGTAAAATCAATGTTTATAAAAATTGAAATATAAATTCTATTTTATCAAAGAGAGATACAGTGAAAACCATAAAAATGTGGAATGGGAAAAGACATTTATTATACATTATAGGGTCTGAGTATACATTGCCACCATTGCTTTGTTGTATGTTCAACAGACTATATAAAAATATCTTTTAAATTAAACGATCGTCTTTCTATTCCAAAGTTGTTTAGGTTTCGCTTTATGATAAATCTGATGTTTGTATGTTAAACAGAATTAAAACTGTTCCATATGTTGCTAGCTTTCTCATTTGTAAAACTGTTAAAATATATTTATCTGAGATTTTTACTGATTCTGGTGTAATTGATTATAGGGTTTAAGCGTTTTTGAAAAATTATCTAAAAAATAAAGAATTAAACCCATCTTCTTCTGATATTGAACACCCTTTTAACATTTATACAAAGCAATTAGTAAATATTTAACAAGAAAATGTCGAGTGTTTCTTTAGTTGTTAATATATATAACCTTGGATTTCAACATTTATCTAGATATGTTTCTACTTCTTCTCACTCTCTTCAATTCAATCTACAGGATACCAGTTGATATATTGTATATATACAGGGGGAACCACAAAATATGAGACTTCAGAGGCGACGCGAATTTACGGATTTTTTTTTCTAACTTTCGTTGTTATTTTCAACTGTACACTGAATTCCGTATCTTCAATCCTCATCGTATACCGTTGTACCGTACAGAACCCATAAAGTGATATTAATACAGTGATTGGACAATGCCATGTACTGTACATGTACATACAACGGAAGTTTTTTTTTCATAAAGGGTTATCAGCACGATTGTGTGCCATCATAGGTCTAAACATTCTTCATTGGAAGAAATCTTTCATATTGCCAGAAATATCATCTTTTTGCAATTAAAATATTTGCAAGGCATAAGGGAAATTAATAATTGCGGCGTATTTATTAAATGACAAAATCTTCTCATAGATAATCTGTAAGTTTTGCATATATTGATAAAATGTTAATCTAAAGAAATGATGTGCCCCTTTACTGACAAAGTGTTAACTGGTGTATTTCTTCAGTTTACCAGAGAGCAAGTACTTTGTAATGAATATGGGGGGATCACCCTATCTTATAAAAGGTAATACAGTCATAATACCTGGAATTAATTGATAGTTAATAGGGAGACTTTAGTTATTTATCTCTGGCAATTTTAAATGCTCAAATAAGGCAGACCACATTTTAGAAATGGCAAGACTAGGACTATTTTGTGATTATCATTTTATCAAACATATTTGTAAAATTAGATTGTAAAAGTCGCCTGATTGATTGTAAATTAATTCCGGGTCTTTCTGATGAGGTCTGTACGGTACATATTGAAAATTAAAAGTTATTATTTTAATAATATTAATTATAGCATCATTCAAATTTTATTTTCTTAGTGCATGACTTTTTCAAATTAATAAAATTTGACTTTGCCCTTGTCAATACTTAGCATTGGGTAGAGATACAGAGGTGGTTTATAATCATTGTGTTTCCCCCAAACAAAAATTACCCATCCCCCTGGAATTTTATTAAGATACTTTGGTCATTCAAAAGAGGAATATGTAGTGCCCTTTTTGGAATTTTCCCTGCAGAAAAAATAAATAATGTATTAACTAAGTCGCACAGAAGAATCTTTTTAAAAAATCCATCCCTAAAAAAATTCATGGGGCTGGATCTTAGCTACCTGTCCGTGTATATTAGTCTGAGTGTAGACTTAGGACAGGTTTCTAACAAAGTATATTAAGAGATTATGGCGTATTCATACATTACAAACATCAAATATACAATATGCTTATTATCCTGTTCCTTTGTAATCAAACAGGGCTTTAAGGGTACCAATGTGAACCGTACATCCCTCTCTGTTTAGCGGAATAGTTGAAATTATGTCTACAGTTTTATTATTTTTTTTACATGCCCTGTACAATTAGTAAAGGTTTCCTCTCTCACTAGTTGGGGTCAACATTTTTCTAGATGGTATACAGTATATATGCTTTATATATAATCAAAAACTTCACATTGTACACATACATATGTTTAACCTAATTCCTAACATTATTGCAAGTGCAATTTCCTTAAAGATTCTCCCGGGAAATTAATGCAAATCACATTCAAAATATAAAAATAAAAAGGATAGAATGGCCTTGACTATGTTCTTCTAAATTATTAAAAACTTGTACAATGTTTTAATTATTTCAAATTTCCAAGCACTAATTTTAAAATGTTTTGCCACAAAAAATACGAAAACTTAAAATTCTAAATTTGTGTTTAAAATTGCTAATATTACAGGGGTTCTGAATGAGAGTTTAAATGGCACTACGGATAAGGGGGGTGGAGAAGGTTTTGAAGATATTCCGATATTGAATAAAACACAAGAAAAACATAACGAAACAGCGGAAAGATACAACAACACTAAAAATATGATTGAAGACTTTACAAATATGATGGAAACTCCAAAAGATGCCCAGGTTATACAGAAGGAAGTAAAAAAGAATGAAAATAAAACAGAAATAACAGAGGAACCTAAAACAGGAGAAGACTATATGTCTATAACAGAAATAGACAAAGCTGTAGACGCTTTGGATGAGCTAGAAACAAACCCAAAAGTAGATGAAATAACGCGTATTACAGAAAAGAAAAGCAAAAGTGTGGATTTAAATGACCTTAAAGATGAAACTGCAAATAAAACTGTATCTGGATCTGAAGATGATATAGGTGAATCTGAAGATGAATCGAAAGATAATTCTAAAGATGAATCTGGAGTTGGATCTGAAGATGAATCAGAAGATAAATCTCCGGATGAATCTACAGATATATCTGAAGTTGAATCTGATGATGAATCTGAAGATAATTCTGAAGATGATTCTGAAGGTAATTCTGAAGATGATTCTGAAGATGAATCTCCAGACGAAACTGCAGATGACTCAGAAGATGCATCTAAAGATAGTTCTATAGATGAATCTGAAGATGTGTCTAAAGATGATTCTGAAGATGAATCTAAAGATGAATCTAAAGACGAATCTAAAGATGGATCTAAAGATGAATCAAAAGATGAATCTAAAGATGAATCTAAAGATGGATCTAAAGATGAATCTAAAGATAAATCAGAAGAAGAATCTAAAGATGAAGCTGGAGCTGAATCTGAAGATGAATCTGCAGATAAATCTTCAGATGAATCTAAAGATAATACTGAAGAGGAATCTGATAATGAATCTGCAGATGATTCTAAAGATGATGCTGAAGATGAATCTCCAGACGAATCTGCAGATGACTCAATAGATGAATCTACAGATGAATCTACAGATAAATCTACAGATGAATCTACAGATGAATCTACAGATGAATCTACAGATGAATCTGCAGATGAATCTGAAAATGAAACGAATCCACAAATAGGAGCCGACTATTCTTTGACTGAAGAGGAAGAGGAGGATGACAAACCCAAGCAGAAGGAAGACGATGAAAAAACAGATTCTGAGAGTGAAGAAGCTGCTAAAGTTGATGAGTTAGCAAATCTGTTAACAAATGTAGTGACAAATCTTAAACAAACAGAATAAAACTGACAAAATTCAAACGATTTTTCCATATTTTTGCATCTTTTTACAAACATTTTTTGTTAATTTTTTCTTGTTAATTGTTCACTTTTTAAAAAGATGGTTCGAACAAAAGTTAGTATCTAATAATTTAACAGTAAGATAATATACTCCATATCAATGATACTTATTCTGAATAAAATTGATAAGATGTGTTCCTTTAAATAAAACGCTGTTGTAGTCGTCTAAATTTAAAAGGTTTCAGAGGTACATAGGATAAATTAGAAGATTTGAATGAATTGTTGCAATAGATTAAATTTGAAAATTCTTTAAGAAAAACATTATTCAGCATAATTTTAAATTTTAATCTTTATCAAGAGGTCTTAACGACGACTTTAATTAGCACATACCTGAAATAGAATATGTTATCAGTTCAAATATCATGAAGAAAACGTAAGTCATTTGTAAATCAAATATGTAGATAAGGGAAAAAAAGAAAATGTGTTTATGTATATATAGTAATGGTTGAATAGGTTGATGAATGAGAGCATTATGAATTATGAAATAAGGATGAACAGGTAGATGAATGAGAGGATGAATAAAGAGGTTGATGAATGATGGTATAAATTATAAATAGATGAATTTAAAATGGTGTTTTTTCCAAAGGCATTTTCTCAAGGGTGACTTCTCAAGTGGTAATTCCCCAATTGTGCAATTCCCAAAGCGGCAACTTCACATAGCTTAGTTTAGGCAATACAGGCTGCAATGGGGGGTCTAANGGGGGGGGGGGGGGCGAGAGCTGCAGCTAGATTGGACTAGGGGACCCACTGTTGTGTCTAAAACAGGCTAGGGGACCAACAGACTTGGGAAGTTACCGCTCGGAAAATTGCACAATTGGGAAGTTGCCACTTGGGAAAATACCCTTGGAAAATTGTCGCTTGGGAAAAAGCCTTTGGGAAAGTACCCAACATCATGAATCATGAACTGATAAAGTATTAATACATGTATTGATAATTGAGAGTATGAATGATGAAAAGTTAATGTATAGATGAAAAGGTTGATGAACGAGAGTATGAACAATAAATGGATGGGGTATAAATGAATATGTTTATGAATAAAGGTATGAATCATGAATGGGCTAATGAATTATGAAGTATGAATAAATAGGTTGATGAATAACGAATGAATTAAGTATGAATGAATAGCTGTTGATAAAAAATGCATTGATGCATTATGAATGAAAAGATAAATGAATGAATAGGTTGATGAATAATCAATGGATTTAATATAAATGAATAGGTAAATGACTGAAGGACGGATGAAATATGAATGAATAGGTTGATGAATATGTATTGCATGGTATGAGTGCAGGGTGTGAATATATGAAGAATTGATGAGTATAAATTACATGTAAATTAAAGGTCAAGTATTTAAATATGTTTCATGCAAACCATCCCTGCTATGCAGTCTACTTTCCCTGGAATTTAGTATGAAAATTGTATCTTTTTATCCTAAATAGTTTTTTTCAAGTTTAAAGTTGTTGAAATCGTGATTTGACGTAAATATATATGGTAATTTCAGTAAAAAGGGTGTAACATTTGAAAGTTACAAACTTGGTTCTGTATTCATACTTTTTGGTGTACACACTTTACAATATATATAAGCCCAGTCATAATTGCAATATTTTTCTTAGACAAAATGTTAATTTCAATTTTAATAAGATCCATCAATGTAAAAAAAAAAATTCGCTAAATTTTAGGCAATATTTAAACCCTAAGTTTTTATTAGAAAAAGGGGGCTTTGTATAAAGCACTGTATAATTTAAAAGGCATTATGTATATAAAATCAATCATTTCAGCATTCTTAGAGATACAATTTAAATTTGATACATGGAACCCGGTCTTTTCAAATAGGGGGGGNGGCGGGTCGTTAAACTTGAAAATATAAAAACTTTATCCATCTTTATAATCTTGTGTTGATTTATTTATTACTTTTTTTCAAAAGATCACAAAAATTTGGTTGAAATGTTTCCAACGAGGGTTGTTCCAGATAACATTGGTTTCACGTTAAGAAATACTTGAAAAGGTTCTAGACAAAGGAACACGATTATGATGGTTGTATAATATGGTTTATGATATCATTTTAATGAGCATTTCTTATTAATTCTTAATCCAGGCCTAGTCCCTCTATCCTCGTATGTAGTAATAAAGAACATATGGTTCCAGAATAAGTTTATAAATGTAAACACTGATAATTTTAACATTTGCTCAATTAAACGTGCACGTGTGAAAATATTTGGAGCACGCCAATTAGAATTCTAAAATTAAGTATTCTCTAGGCTGAATAATCTGGTATTATATATAAATATTTGATATGATTAGACTCAACATATGTGTTTATTTATCTATTAAAGATTGATGCAATCTTACAAAACTGTTTTGTAATCTTATAATTTGTTTGGCTGGAGGTTCTATCCCTCTCTTTCTCCTTTACACCAACTCTTTTCCTTAAAGGGACTGTACACTGTAACTTTAAGTGATAGAGTAGCATAATAAATTTACAACGTTACCCTATAAGCTGTGTTTGATCAAGAATACATGAGATGCACCTAAATATTTTCAAGTATGTCTTCTTCTTAAAGGATGGAACATTTCAAGTTGACAAAACGACGATATCTTCCACATTGTTTATAAAATAAAGGTTTAAAGGTTACCTTTGTGAATCGGGCATGCTCATATAAATATAAAAGGTCACTTGAAATTACGTGTACAGTCCCTTTATTATTATATTCAATTTTTATGTTTATTGAGGCTCCCTGTATTTGATGGCAAACAGTAGTTAACTTTATCATGGTATTTAATGAGATCTTGATCATTCTTGGTAAATACACCCTGAATCCTATAATTTGAATTTCTATATATATATATATATTGTGAAGAGTTTAATCACGATTGTAATTTCATTAATTCAGTTCTCAAACTAATTTATCTTCTAGGAAATGAAGTAATTTCTATATTGATTAATTGTTGTTAACTCCTCTCAGTTTATTATAGTTAGATCTCCTCGTTCATTAAAATTCAAATTTTAGAATTTATAAATCAACAACTTTTTGACTATTTTCCAAATAAGAGTTTGCAAATTATAGAAAATTAATTGTGCAAAACTTTAAATCTATTAATTTCAAAATAAGAATAGAGTATTTAAAACAGTTGTAATCTCTGTTTGTTTATTTGTTTGTCCGATCATTACTCAGGAACCTCTTGACCGATTTGCCTGAAATTTTTATTGAGGAACTCGGGAGACACACGGGAATGTTCTTAGATTGGTTTTGAGTTTCGAAATTGAGTGATTCCGCTTTTTTAGGGAAAAGGGCTAAAATCGTAGTTTACACGACCAAGCGTGGGTAAACGGCGAGAGCAACTTTGAGTACCCTGGGCAACGCTGGGTTCTCAAGCTAGAATATAATATCTGGAATATAGAAAATGTTTGGATATTTCCATATTTTCTAAATCCTTCAGATCTGCAGACATGAGAAGGATACATGCCGAAACAAGGGAAAATTGGTCAATTGGGGGTGGAACGTATAAATATGATGTATTTGAAGAAATATAATAGATGCTGTAATAATATCATATAGGTCTGTATCATTGTATGAAGGATAAGTAAGACAAGGAGAGAAGGGGAGAAGTGAATAAATTAAGAAAAGAGAAGAAAGAGAAGGAAAAAGAAGACTTTAAAGAAGGTAGAATGTAAATGAAGAAAAGTCAAGAAGAATTAGGTACGTAGAGGAGAATGAGAAGGTATAAGGAGAAGTATGAGAAGCTTGTAAAGAGTAGAAGAAAGGGAAGGTGTATAAGGGGAGAAGGGTGATTAAATGTCTAAGAAGGAAAAGGTTCAGAAAGGGAGAAAGGGAAGGTGTAAAAGGGAAGAAGGGTGAAAGTGAAGGGGAAGGTACAGAGGATGAGAAAGGGGAATGTCTATAAAGAGAAGAAGGGTGGTTAAATGGTAAAGAAGGAGAAGGTACGGAGGATGAGAAGGGGAATGTCTATAAAGAGAAGAAGGATGGTTAAATGGTAAAGAAGGGGAAGGTACGGAGGATGAGAAGGGGAATGTCTATAAAGAGAAGAATGGTAAGGTAAAAGGGTTGAAAAGGGGAATGTAAGGCAGGGAAAATGACAAGGTATAAATGAAGATAAAGGAAGAAGGAGAAGGGTGTGAAGGAGAAGATAAAGTAAGTGACATAGAGAGAGGAGTAAAGAAAAGAAAGTGAAGGTAAAGGGAAGAAGGAAACAGTATAGACGGAGAAGGTTGAGAAAGTAACACCCTCAAATTCTACAAAAAAGATTGTGATCTTTCTAAAAATGTCAGTTTCAATATCATTAAAAAAGAAAGTGGCGTGCATCTTCTTTCTTCAATTTTTATCCGACTTAATCTGTAATCCTAGCTCTTGCAACTCATAAACCTTGAGTTTTAAGAAATATTTTTGTCTGGATTTCTTCATCCTGATGACCAGTAACCAACGAAAACCAACGATTGTATAATATATCAAATATATTCTTAACTTTATATTCAGACTTACCCACAAAGGATGAGACTGCAAAGACGATCGTAAACTCTAAAAATATTACGAATCCAAGTTTAAATTAAATATACTGTTTCATTTATAGTAATCTATTTGCTTATTTAATGATTTGGCAAAGAAACCAACAGTCTATTATATTAGGAAACAGAGCGTACAATCGACGAATCTGAACTTTGAAGTATTATCCTTTGTGGGTTACCCTGTTACTATAATACAATAAATCCTTAACCTAAGTTGAGTTCTCCCTATCTCTAATATTGAAAAAAATTACTCATGTATTACTCATATATTACTCATATATTACTCATATATTAATCAGATATTACTCATATATTACTCATATATTACTCATATTTTACTCATATATTACTCATATATTACTCATATATTACTCATGTATTACCCATATATTAATCATATATCACACATATTACTCATGTATTACCCATATATTAATCA